ATATATATATATATATATATATATATATATATATATATATATATATATATAATTATTAGATTTAATTTTTCCATGCGCACATTCTCTCATCTTAGAATTCTGTTGTTACATTTTTTTCGTTATCCTCTTTTACCTCCATTTTATAATCAATAAATATCAATAAAATATCTAACATTGCTTTTTACATAAAATTACCACCCTCAATTTTCCTCTCTTTTTCGTTATCGATCGCACTTTGTATAGATTGAAATGGATCATTAATGTATTAACAATATTCATTTGCTTTTCATATAATTATCATGAATTATTTTATAGTTAAAATAAGGAAAAAAAATTGGAGAAAGAAATGAAAGTACCTAAAAAAATGGCAATTTCTCTTGACCAGAACAAGTTTCCATTTTTTCCCCTTCGTTTTCACAACAATGCCTCACGTCCATTTTGTACCAAACCAGGCCGATTAAAAAATTGTATCATTTGTTCTATTTTGCTTCTCTTTTTACTTCATCGATTGAGACGTGCGCCTTAGAAATAATGTTCCTGCCATCATTTATCCATTTATATTATTTCGTTAATTAAATAAATTTGCAATAAAATCTTCGTATAACGTTTTCTTTTCACATACTTATTATTGTGTTTTTTTTTCTTAGTTTTTCTCTTCTTTTAATTCATTGTTTATACTTCTTGCCTCATTTTTATTTCACTCTTTCTCATTATCAAATACTTCACACTTCTCTCATTCTAGGCCATTTTTTCTTATTAAATCATTCAAAGTGCACTTGACGGTGTCTATGGAGCACCAGAAATTTAAAGGACGTCTACATTGGCATCCCTTGCATCTCGTCACTCAGTTCTGACTTTCCCTACTTAATTTCTTTTTCCTAGGGAAAATACAGCGATATATAATCGATTACAGTTTTATATTCTCTCATCCCAATGAACTCTACTATCATATTCATTATTTCAGAAAATAGTTGAAATAAGCTGTATTATTATTATTATCGAGGTTCAGCATGTAGATGAACTACGAATTCAAGGCAAAATCGCGTAAAACCTAGAATAAGTTTCAAGCGTGTTAGACTTATTATCATCTTCTCAATATTACGAAGAATTAATTTCTTAATTATCTCAATTAAATGAATAAAAATTCGCATATGGATAGTACGAACTATAATGCTGCAACGGAGTTATCCACTTTCAAAGAAAAACATGGAAATAACGTAGCAATCCCACCAGTATTACAAAACGGCTGCGTCGCTTGTCAAAAGCGATGAAGCCAATGGCCAGCGACAGTAAACTGTCGTTACTATTTTCAATTGATATGCATGATCAATAAAAAGATGAATTTGTCATTGAAAGATTATGATTGAAAAAAATGTGGAATAAAAATATGTAAAAAAAAGACATGATTCAAATAGAGTTGGAAGCACAATAATGCATAACGACGTTCCAACAATTTCATACTCCACAGTTAAAGAATTAGAAAAGAATTGATTGAAATGCCCACTTGCAGTATGCACCGTATAATTTTATCAATCAAAAGAATGACCATTAGACTTAACGACGTATATATCAGGATATTCATATAAATCCTATCGCAATATATTAAAGAAAGGCGAATATTGCTTTCTCCCTCTTTGCTGAAGTATCTGTCTCACGCATTCTAATCAATGCCTATATCTGCGGATCTCTCCCGCATTAGAGTACATTTCCTTCTTACAGCGTTCATAAATTTTACACTCAACTTTTAATAAAGTTTTTCTTCAACTTACATTATACTATACAAGAGTTTATTTATATTAAAAAATGTGTTTTTTTCTTTCACTCGGGAATCTGGGCTTAATGAGATGTTTAAAACTATACACAAAAATGTTGAACGAAAAAATAAAAAGACTATGTACCTTGTTCCTAAGGTTTGTTCAATGAAATTAAAATTCTTAATGTTGATTTTTAAAAATCATTAAGCATGTATAATACAATATTTTAAATCACCGCTAGTCGGTTTGATGGAGTCTCAATTAAGGTATTTTCGACATCTCCGTGATCCACAGGTGCACGGTATTTTAATATCCTCAAACGGGAATTTGTAGTCGTAAGTCAATTCTTCTCCCTGCACGATGCGTCGTAATGCAAATATCAATATGTGTTTCTTACCTAGTATGTCAACGACTCTGGAGTAGCAATTTGGCTGTAAAGTATTAAAGTTAATGAATTGGGATTAATCGGAATGATTCATTGCTATTTTTACCGCAATGAGAGGTAAAGTACTGGAGATGATGGAGTTGGTGTAATTACCTCGCAAGAGTGATTTATAAATCTGGCGGCATTGCCTTTCATGGTTGCGTCGACAACTAGATGATCGTCAATTTTGAACATGTAACAGCCTATGTGTTTACTGTCGTAGTATTTCTCACGTTTGTCGGTTAAAGATGCTCGGATTACCTATAATGAAGGAAAACAAAATTATTTGACGCAAAAAGAAAATATACAGAATGTAGGAGATTATCTTGAACAGTTCAGTAGCGAAACGGTTCAAGTCGATTTTGACTATTGGTCAGTTTTCCATTAATATCGCCGAATCTAAGACAGATAACAAGATTTTTGTAATGACCTTTTTTGTAGCTCTCAATTCGCGCTACAAAAAAGATTATTACAAAAATCTTGCATCTGCCTTAGATTCGGAGCTTAAACCGTTTTACCGCTTCGCTACGAAATTCTCAGGCTATTCTCTGAATTTTGTCATTTTTAAAACAATACTGAGAGAATGAGGAAAAAGTTCTTAAACAAGTCTTGTCTGGAGCAAAAAAAATCGCAAGTGAAAAATTACCAAAAAAGAAATTATTTGATTCGAAATTGAAAGTCTCAAAGAGGCAGTGCCTGTTCAGGATGAAAATATCTCTTATAGAGTAAAGTTTATCAAAAAATATTTTATCCCTAAGTGAGAAGATTGCTATCATATCATCATTATTATTTAATTTAAAAATTAATTTCAATACCGCAGCGGTAAAGCGTTTTGGGTCGATTTTGATTATTCGCCAGTTTTCCATGAATATCTCGAAATCTTAGGGAGATAGTAAAATTTTTGTCATGACTTTTTTGGAGCCCTAAATTCGCTCTACAAAATGGTCATTACGAAAATTTCGCTATCTCTTTTAGATTCGGAGATGTTCTTCGAAAACACACCTAAGAACTAAATCGCCTTAAACCGTTTTACCACTTCACCACTGATTTCTTATCTGTACTTATTGAATCGCCAAAACAAAAACTGTCCCTTGTTTCACACAAAACGATCATTCTATTCAAGTGCAAAATATGAATGGGAGTATCGAATATTGAAGGAGTAATGCAAGAAATACCATTTCTTGTTTGCACATTTATAATTCACGAAGACAGAAATCATTACCTCTCCAGCATATTCAATAACCATTTCTCCAGCCTCAATATCTCTCAAGCAGAACAATCCCCTCCCATGAATATGCGAATGATAAACACCGACAGATTCCTTAGAAGTCTCCTTCAATATCCTAAATCTCATGGCCATCGGTAGATTAGTGCTAGCAGCCTTCCTCATTTCATTCTCAGAAATGGCGATCATTTTCGGCTGCTGCCTGTGCCTGGACGCCAGCCAACTGAATATATCGTGGACTTTTCTCCCCTTGAAAGGCTCAGCGCGTGCAGCACCACTATCCGACTCAGTGAGCACATCGTCATCCAATATTTTAGGTGGTGATAAATTATGAAACCTCGGCTTGTACTTGACGCATCGATTCACCCCTGGCAATTGTTCAACAAGATAAACAGTTGCATTGTTATCAAGCCCAAGATCTTCAGTGAGAGGATTGTGGGCCAGTGGTGGGAGATTATGAGCCTTTCGCGCTGTCTGCACAGCCTGAAAGACAGTCTCCCAGACCTCAGCCATCGAGGACGCAGTGTGGGTGAAGCCATCCTGAGACTTAATCTCATACATCAATGTTGGCCCTGTTTTCTTCTGACTATCAGCAGTCGGTGGAGTAATTTTACTCGGCTTCGTATTCTTCGCCATAAATCTCGGCTTCTTCACCGCCACTGGAGGTAGCTTAGGCTCCGGCAGATTTGAATCCTTGTCCACCAATTTGGGTTTCTCATCAATCTTATTGGTTTTCAAGGTGAATGTTTTAATGGGTAATAACTGGAGGGATGCTATTTGCGGCGTTTGTTTGGACGGAAGTATCTCAACTGACGTGATTTTTGGTGTACCCCTGCTCTGAGACGTGGACTTCATATTGTGGCTGATCTTATAAGAACCGTCTTGCAGCTGTTTCTGAAGGACAATCTTCAACGATGCATTTTTCAAATTATCCTTGTCAGTGTCCACCTTGAAGTTCTCCTTCGACTCCTCAATCTCCTCGGGCTGCAGTTTGCTCGTCTCCTGATCACCCTCGACGACTTCAATTTTCTCAACGTTCACTGGTTTCTCTTCTTCAAGCCCTTCCACCGGCGATTTTTCAACCAATTTCTCTTCACTCTCCACGACGCTCTTTTCACTGACAATATCTTCCTCGACACAGGGCTTTTCAGCAGCTTCTTCGACGATGAAAGACTTCTCAAGGGGCAAGGTCTTCTCGACAGTATCACAATCGAGTGGTTTGATGGGCTCCACTGTCGCCTCCCCCTCTGCCGACTTAACCACCGGCTTCGTCGGCTCCGCAATGACAATTTCAGGCTTCTCCACTGGTTTAACAATTTCCTGTTTAGGTATCATCGCCTGCATCGGCAGAACCCTATTCATCGGACGCGTAGGTGGCGCAACAGAAGAGCTCTTAACTCCATGACTCGATATTAACGTACTGTCATTGCTCGTAATTCCAGTGCTGTAAATATTATTGTGAACACTATTAACATCAAGATTCAATCGATTTATCTGTAAATCCCTCTGTGTGATACAGTGGCTAGAGAGCGGTGGTATTTTCGATGATATACTCGACTTTATCATGCTCGTATTTTCAGACACGTGCTTGGAGTCGAGGTAGGGACGTGTACTACTGGTAATAGTTTGTTCGGTGGCGTAGAGGGGCTCTGGGATCTTCCATTGGCCGTGGCTCGATTGCGTCACAGTGTGAGAGATGGGACTGGGTCGAACCGCAACCCGTGGTATTGTTGGTAAGGTCTGTTGTATTGAACGAGGTGGCGAAACTGTTCGTGTCTGAGGGATGAATGGAATCTGTTGTACTGGTCGTGCTTCTGGCGCTGGTTGAACAGGTTGAACCGGTTCAATAACTGGAGGAGGTGGATTACAATGGGAGTTGCTTGGTGGTCGTATGAATGATGATGTCTGATCGTGTGATTGGGGGAGAGTTGGGGGTAGGCTTGAAGGTACACTGATTTGAGGAGTTGGAATGGACTCTGGAGTGGTGGGATTGACGACTACATAGCCACCTGGGATATTGGGGACTCCTGGAATGCTCTGAACTGTCTGGACACCTGGCACGTTGGATACGTTGGGAACAGTCTGGACGTCCACCAGTGGCTCCATCAGCTTGGAGGCTTGAAATACTTGGGTTGTTGTCTGATAACTGCTAGCCAACACTTGGGGAACAGCCCCTGCAGCCATGAATTGACTTGATGACATGACAGTATTGCTGACTATTGTCTCGAGGCCGTAGTACATGGGCTGACTGGAGACGAACATGCTGCCTGTGGAGTCTGTGAACATCTCTAGCGTTGGGGTTGAACTCAACACTAGTTGCTCTGAGGAGATAACTCCACACTGAATGGCACTCGGTTGCTGTTGAATTATCGTTCCCAGGACTGTTGGCTGGGGTTGAGCGAGTTGGACACCAGGAAGAACGGAGATTCCACCGTTCTGAAGGGCTAATAAATTGTCTGAGCCTGCTTGGATGTAGGCACCAGGCACCAGCTGGTTAGTTGTAATGAATTGAGGCTTGTAACTGGCTTCTTGACCCCCAATTGCTGTTATATATTGAACGTTCTGTCCGGATTGTTGTTGGAGAGTTTCAACGTAGGACATCAGGCCAGAGCCTGGCACTTGCTGAAGAATCACCGTTGGGGCTGTTGGTCTCTGGGGCTGCTGCAGCTGGAGAACTGGAGTTGCACTCTGCATTGTTTGGTAACGAACTGGTCCAACCTGCTGGGGAACTGAATTCCTCATTATCTGTGGCTTGATCATCTTTGTTCTGGGCTTGGGGGTTCTGGGGGACTTGGGTTTCGATATTTTTGGGGACTGCACATTCACAGGAGCCCCCTCAGCTATTCCACACGCTGACAGGCCCATCGATGAACCACTTGGAGACACCTGAGGGCTTGCAATAGTCTCAGTTATTCCAGTTGGTGAGAGATTCGGTGTTGGTATTCCCTCATCTGGTGTGGGAGTGTCTGTTATCTCTGTTATTTGCACAGTGCTCTCTTGTGGTAATACTGCTGAATTCGGTAGAGTTGTGGTTGTTCTCGTATACTGGGTCTGGACGATCACTTCATTCGACGTTAATACTGTTTGGTGGACAGTTTCAACAGTTGAATGAGTATGAATCTGGGGTGTGATTAGAGCCTGAGCTATTGGTTCAATCTGAATGGCTGGGTGGGGTGAAGGTACTGAGGCTTCCAGTGGTGAAGTAACTTGCATGTCTGGGTATTCCGAGGTCATTGTGTGACCCTCTGAGGGTGACATTGTGATGAACTGAGGGGACATCGATCCAACGCTGTCTGAGAACCTTGAATGTGGCGATGAACCTTTGTTATCAATTGTCTCTGAGTCACTGTCACTCATTGTGACAATGTCACAGGTCATTAGATGACGATTGTAGCTGTCTTGGGTTCTGTAGGTGCACTGACATCGCTTGCACGTCACTGGGCCATCACCAATGTCTGCAACAGAGGTGCAGGGCATTGGTGCTTGTTGGGCGTTGTGGGAGCTCTCCTCGTCACTCGAGACGTCATCAGCACCGTCCAGTTGGGGGATTTTAAAGCTCTCGTTACTGCTTTCATCGTAGAGGAAAGGTCGTTCATCATGTTTCAAATCATTTGGAGGAAAAGCCGGACGGGGAGAAGTGGGTTTGTCTCTGAAAGAGAACCACGAATTGCTGTCTGATGATGTTTCATCGTTGGTACCGTCTATCTGGGGAATTCTCTCCTCAATGTTATATTCTGGGGAGCTGCATTCACTGGCACTACTTGGATCTGCTGGACCGTCGACTTGAACTATTCTCGGTTGCTGCCTAGTGTGCCAAAGAAGTCTTTTGTGATCTTTGTTGTTTTCTCCTATTATACTCGGAGTGTTGGCCCTCCCAACTGTCAGCATAATGCTCTCTGGAATTCTCAGCTCGTGGAACATTGATGTCCTTTCATTTTGAGAATCCATTACCATCAAATTAGCCTCACCAGTTGTTCTTGGTGTTGGTGCAGATCGTGGTATCTTTCTTCTCTTCATTGTTGGCCCATATGTCCCATCAAGTTTACAACTCCAGGTCAAACTACACGATCTCTGATGATGCCTTTGTCCTCCAACCATCAGTGAATTATTGGAAATCACCTCAGACTTTGACCTCTTGAGTTCCCTTCCACCCATTTTCTGGCCCTTGGAATTCAATAAATCGTCCATAAAGTCTTGGACACATCCTTTGGTCTCCAGATGCAGCCACAGATCATTCTGAGATAATTCTGACATTGTAGGATCGATCTTGGAGACTTTATTTTCAGAGGGTTTTATGATTTCATCAACTTCAGAGGGCAGTATGTCATCTTTCAGAAGATCATTCCCAAAGACGCCATCGTTCCTCATGTCCATTGCTAAAAAATCCTCATAACTCATTTTTGGAAAAATATCCTGCATGGATATTCCGTCCAACAGATCGTGTGGCAAATCCTGGAAAATGACATCTGTTATTTCAGGGGGAAGGAGATCAGTGTTGTTTTGCTCAGCAAGGTTCTCATCAACCTCTTTATTGTAAACAGAATCAATAACAGCGTCTAGAGTTTGCTTGACCACCAGTTGTTCCAATTTCTGTCTCTCCTCTCTCTCCAATTCCTTGGAGTGATCAATCGTAACATTATGCTCAGCATCGATAGTCACTTCAGCAGTACAATGCTGAACATAAGTTCTGATGTAGTACTTGACGATTTTCATTGGATTGACGGTCGACCAGTATAACCTGGAGCACTTGTAGTTGGTTGGAAGAATTTTGTCAGGAGTATCAGAGAACTCGGGAACAATTATCCCCAAACAATCGATCATCAATGATCCAATCATAACTTTGACCTGACTGGGATCAACAAATTTCTTCTTCTTTCTGTCTAGCTCGACATAAACCAGTCTCTTCAGCTCGAAATCATCATTTGTGTGAGGAGTTTTGGTGGCACAATTGCTCAGATGTGATGCACAGAATATCGTCTTGTCGTCGTTGAATCCAAGACCGACATTTCTGGCGCATGGAAAGTGATAAGTCGTTGAGCAGTTCTTAGCACAACATCCAACACTTGCACCCTTCTTCCCACACTCTGAGCACCTAATCTGCTTACCCCTGGATATGGCACTGTGGACGTTTTGGAGAGAGCCATCAATCTCCTCAAACACCTCATTTGACCAGAGAGCACAATTAGAGTGCACCCACTCATTCTGTCCACAGTACAGAAGCCTGCCCTCTTTCATCCCCTGTCCATCACCCAGACCCTTGCAGAGTGAACAAAATCTCGTGTCGTCAACAGTAATGTTGCTGTACAAATTGCCAGTCTTCGCTGCTATTGCCTTCGGAGCTTTAAGCACTTCCTCCTTCCACGTCTCCAAAATCGAGTCATCCAGTTTTGAGCAGAGTGGAGAGTCCAGGCATTTTGATGGATCTTTCAACGGTGTCGACAGTCCACTACCAGAGGAACTGATTTTCGAACGTTTTGGATCGAACCAGGGAAAAACTTCTTGCAGTGATTTATGATAGGACTCAATCAGATCATCAGCACCAGCTCTGTTCACCACGTGCTCCATGTCACAGTGAAATTGAAACAGAGATCTGTACTCATTTCCATTGACTTTTCTCTTGACTGACATCAACGTCGGTGATGGTCTTGCTAGAATCTGCTGCTCTGAACAGTGACACTCTCGATTCTCACACGTACTCGATGACTCTTGGCTTGAACTGTCCTCTTGGGTGTCCTTGGGAATGATGCAGTTCTTCACTCTCACTGAGCACTCCTTGAGGTGAAATTTCTGCTTTAGCCTTCTGAGGCCTCTTCGGGGAAAGTCAATGGGCTGATCGTCGATTTCAAAGTCAAACCTACTCAGTGGATCGACTTTAGGGTCTACGACTAGTTCTGGAGGTTTTTCAGTATCCTCAGCATCATCAGTAAGCTCTCCAAAGATTTTTTCATCCGAGAAATCTAGCCTTCTGACACTGGCTGAAGGCTTACAAAGGCATTCTTTTCTAGGACTCCATTTCAATGCTGCACACATTTTACGATTTTTACTCAGGGCTTTAATCACAGAGATGAAACCGGCTTTGAGTTCACTCTCAATAGCGTTTCTCCAGACTGAATTGGGATTTGGGGAGCACTGGCTGCAGGTGAACTCTACTGAGTCTGGCAGATAACTCAGGACTTGATAAAATTCATCCGAGAGCCCTTCACATCTCGCGTGTACCCAGCAAGAGCACTCGTTGCACTCCATCATCTTCGAGTCGAAGTCGTTTTCGTTGTAGCAACGCTGGCACAGAGGACAGTAGTTACCCTGCTGTCGAAGCTTGAAACACATGGAGCATAATGGAAGATTGCCGACGTAGACGTTTACACCTTCGCTGCCACAGCTCTTACATTTGACACAGCTCTGACAGACGTAAGGCGTATCTGGACTATACAGCCTTGCATTGACGCCAGATTTTGATAAACAGGCATGATGAAATGACTGACGACACCTTATGCAGGATAATTTGGGGCCCACACGCAAGTGGCAAGTCTGACAGATTGTGCAACGCGGACAGCACCAGTTGGGTTGGGCACAGGCATTCCACTCACTGGGCTCCAGGCAGAAAGCATGGTATGGCTCGCAACAACATTGACAATGTATCAACTGCGAATAAGAGAGAAAAAATGAGTTTATATTTTTGAAAAAGGGACAGTGAGTTTTTCAAAATAAAACTACAAAAAACAAGCAGGGGTCCGAGCCTTTCTGGCAGAAAGCATGTGACCGTTACTCGATGAGTTATTTGTCTTTTTTTATTTTTTATCTCTACCAATTCCATTGGTAATAAGCTTCAGAATGGATCCGTAAAAATGTTATTTGTTATTATGCATCCGGTACACCTCTAAAGCTTAAGATGATTGACCTTGAAAGCGTCTGACTCTTAAAGTGAATGACCCTTCAAACGTTTCAGTTCTTCAAAAAAATCTGATTCTCGAAGCGTTTGACCTTCTAAAATTGAGAATTAAATTTCGGGTTTCCAGAGGGATAGGCAATTACTACACGACTCCATTTTTAAGAAATGTTTCCATGTGAAAATCAAGGACAGAACAACGATGTGTCATTTTATGCGAAAAACGTTTGTTACATCAACTACTCTATTTCAAAAAGTATTGAATCGATCAATCTGAAATTTTACGCAGGAGTGCAAATCGATGATACTAACTGGTCCTCAACATTTTAGAACTTTGCCACATCCTTCACTCATGTAATAGAACGTCAAAGCAACTTTCAGACAAACAAAATAGAAAAACGCCAATATCTCGTATACTTTGTAGTAACGGGTATATATATTTTTAAAGAACTAGATGGAAAAGATCAAGACAAATATTTTGAGAAAAAAAAATGAAATCGGATGAATAGTGTTTGAGATATTGAACAAGATAATTTTATACAAAAAATTGAATATCTTTAAAACTCCTCATTCGATTTCGCCCATCTGAAATCCTTCCTATCTCAATTTTTTCAAGCGTTATCGTGTTTACATCAATTTAATCACAAAAATGAGAAATGTCAATTACTGAGCGACTCGCAATAGTTAGCTAGGCAAATTATGGTCCGATTCGATAGATATTATCATAAAGAATGTTTTGACGTCAAAAAAAGTTCATTTGATGCAGTAGTTTTCGAGATATTGAGAAAAGAAAAAATTTTCGGAATCGCTGTATCTCAAAAACTACTGGACCGGTTGAGCTGAAATTTCGCCCAGATGTGCTCCCAAACAATACCGATTATGAGCCAAAATTTCAGATTTTTATCTTTCATTTTAGTCCATTTTTTGTGAAAATTTATTTAAAAATTCCCCGAATTTAGCACGCACATACAGACATACACACCGACAATCTCTAAAAACATCATATCTCGACGTTTCATGACATTCTAAGTCATTTCCAAGCAAAATTAGAAAATCGAAAAATCGGCCGATTACAAAGCGTTCATTCGGAAGCAAAAATCCAAGATTCAATTTTTGTTTACTGATCAAAACGTTTTACATTTTTTCCCCTAGTCTTGAGATTTGTAAAAAAAAAACGATGAAAAAGTGAATGGAGTCCCCAGTTATGTCTACCCATTTCACTGGATTGCAAAAAAAATGACACCTACTGCCTCAATGTTTTTTCACCACTTTCTATAGCATATAATTATGTTATTAAATACTCACTGGTTCTTTTCCAGCACTCCCACAAAGAAAACAAATAGCAGGAATGTGAAAGTTCTCAGATCCAATGAGTGCAAAACCTTTGGCACCAACTTCAGCCGGATCATACTGCTCCCAAAAGTCTATCGATATTGTATGAGCAGTATTGACTGTTGGCTTTGGTAATGCCCGCACCTGTTTCACCAAAAATAACAGTCTCAACATAGATCAAATACCATGAGAATAATTCCTAATAATATCACAAGATGATTGTGAACGATACTTACCACTTGATGATTCAGTGCCAAAATATTTTGTTGATTTTTACTCCTTTTTGCGTACGTTTGTTGTACGTTATTATTAGAATTAACGTTGTTCTCTTGATTAGGCTTCTGTGACTCTTTAGTGATTTCCTCTCGTTTATCTGATTTATCTTCGTCTTTTGATGTTTTTGGGACAGTCTTGTTGGCATCAGTCTCGTCTTTGCCATCGCCAGACGGAAATGTCGCTATTGGTTGACCCAAAGCAACACTGGCACTTCTGCAAACGTGCTTCACTCTGGGACCCTTAAGATCTACCCTCTGTCTGACAGCTGGTGCTTGAGCACCCTGACTGACCACTGGAGGAGGTGGAGGCGAAACAATTGGATTCTTCACTCTCTTCCTCACCTTTATCCTGTTATCTTTTTTCCTCTTTTTTCCTGGTGAAACAATCACTGGAGAATCGAATTTCCCTTGTTTCATCGAAGAAGTTCCATTGCTGATGCCCTCCTTTGAAATTTCAATTCCACTCCAACTCATAGCTGACTTGAAGAGATTCTTCTCCAGACTGTCCTCCGAGGGCCAACTCATCGATCCAATCGTCTTCTGTCCCAGCACTTCACTGTCATCCTGTCCCAGTGAACCCAATGATATTACAGGATCCCTCATCAAGGGTGGAAGGAGTGCATTGAGTCCAGTTTTCAATGTTGTTGGAATGTGATAGCACTTGAGACACATTTTCAACCAACAAGCCGGACATCTGGCCTTGTAAACACATCTCATCAGATTCCACTGCTGGCTCCGCACCACTGGTGGCACCAAGCACAGCCCATCTCCTTTGTGGCACTGGAGAATTGGCAGAGAGTTATTACCAGCCTTTGCACACGCCTGTCTCTTGATCATTTTGCTGATGAACTTCCTGCAGGACTCGCAGCTGTGAATTCCAAATTTCCGAGCCTGTTTGACGAAACGATAGAATCTAACTGCACCACAAACTCCACATTTCACCGTACCAGTCAGCCCTGGATTGGTCTGATTACCAGGAACATTTTGGGTGTTTGTGACAGAAAATGGCCCCTCGGTTCCCCCAGAATTTTTATTATCCAGCTTCAGCCTTGCTTTACGAAGGATCACTTTGCCACCATGAAACTTCATTCCAGTCCACTCAGACTGTTCATCCTCACTGTGGTTACTTTGATCAGTTCCACTCTCTGATAATTCACTGTCAGAGACAAAGTCATCGCCATTCTCTTCCTCCACTTCTTCAGATTCCTCCACCTCCATTTTGTCAGCATCTGTGGTGGAATCTTCGGGGCTGATGTTTGGAGTTTCTGGGGACTCTGAGCAACTCTGGACCGTCGATGCCTCACTCTGTGCTCCTGACCTCGTCTGAATCCTGGAAGACTCAACAATTGGAACATTTGAATCAGGAAGAGCTTTTTTAGGAACTGATAATTGCTTATTACTGTGAGTTGTTTGATTCGAGGTAATTTTGATTTTACTGGAGTTCTGAGTTTTTCTCTCCTTTTGAGATCTCGCGTCTCTCAATCTTTTTGCATTCACAATATCCACCTTGACAGGGTTCTTTCGCCATTTGAATTTCGTCTGTTTACCCTCCTTATGTGTTTTCTCAATATTCTCAGTGTTACTTCTTTTTTCAGGCACAACTTTAACTTTCTTCGTATTTTTACTGTCATTCTCGTTGTCAGGACTAGTACGTTCTTCCAATTCCTCGATGAACCTTTTGTTTGGCTTTATTACCCTCGACGAGTGTGCACTACGCATTGGTAGAATGAATTTTCTCACATTACTAGTTTTATCACTCGTTGGCACACTATTGCCACGATTGTTCGTACTGATATTGAATTTCGCTCTTTGTAATAAACGTTTTGCTGTACTATTACGCAATTGTCGGGTTCTTTGATGGCGATCCAAGATATTGTTAACTGATTTTAATACTGGCGTACCAACGACAGCTTTGAATCTGACACGTTTACATACTTTTGGCTTGTTTGATTTATTTTTCACCTCTTCATCACCATCCTCAACAGTTGATGCTACATGATTCTTTGGGACAACTTTACTCGATGAATTCTCATCAGTTTCCACGGTTTTATTTTCAGATTGTTGCGAAGGTTTTTGGGGATCCAAAGGGACATTGTTGGGATTTTGTTCAACATTTTTATCGTTGTCGGGCTGTTTAGTTTTTATATATGACACTGACAGTTTTGCCTCTTTGCTGCTGAAGCCGTGAAATGGAGGAGGTTCCTGGAAAAGAAAATTATCAATGAGTACTTTAATCTTTCAATCATTGTTACGATCATTGTTATGGAAAAATTTAATGAGATAGTTTTCGGTTTGTATCATCCAGATTTATCTGCAATGATTCGATTTGAGTAACAGAGTGAATGAAAAAATTACTGTTATGTAAACATGATATTTAAAAAACCATCCATTAATTCAAGAGAAAATAAAACTAGGACTGATTGATTTTCAAATGGATGAACGTTAAGGGGTACCAGAATGCCGCTAATTTTACAAATTCTTGAACAATTCCCGACTGAAAGTTGTCGATATTTTTACAAATTGAAGTAGATTAATCTCCAGGTGGCGATGATGAAAATCAATGTGCAGGAAATTTTTTGCAAATTTCGAGGAAACGGTGGCCTTCTGTTACCCCTTAAGAAATATTTGAATGATCTCGTTGAAACATGCAAAGTTGAAAAAAAAATAAGAGTAAAAAAATACTTCTGTACTTATGAAGACAAACTACGACTTTATTAGGTCGTCAATGCGTCTCGATTCTTCTGTCAAACAAACTATTCACAGAGGTTATTAAACACCTTGAATCATTTACTCCAAATTCTTGAACGGCATTCATCCATTGTTTCTACCTCTCCAAACCTTGAATTCCAAAATTCGCAATAACCGATCACTTTTAAGTGCACGAAAAACGACCAATAAGAATATAAAACAAGGACTAATAGTTTTTTTAATTTATGAGCGTTAAGAAATATTTGAATGATCTGCTCTTTCAAACACGCAAAGTTAAAAAAACAAAGTAAAAAAATACTCTGTACGTATGGAGGCAAATACAATTTTATTAGATCACCAATACATCTCGATTTTTCTGTCAAACAAACTATTCACAGGGGACATGATCATAGATTTAACACCTCGAATCATTTACTTCAAACTCCAGAAACACATTCGAAAAAAGTCGTCTAAGAAAATAAATCTAGGACTAATTGTTGTTTAAATGAATGAGCGTTAAGAAATATTTGAATGATTCGCTCGTTGGAACATGCAGAATTAAAAAAAAAACAAACGTAAAAAAATACTTCTGAACGTATGACGACAAAATACGACTTCTGTCAAACAAACTATTCCCTCGAATCATTTACTCCAAAGTATTTACTCCATTGTTTCTAGTGTTAGAAACAATCAATGGATGTCAATTCATTCATTGTTACAAACTCTCCAAATCTATGAACCCCAAAATTCGCAATAACCGATCATTCTCGAGTGCACGAGTAAATAAAATTAGAACTAATTATTGATTAAATATTTGAATGATTCGCTTTTGAAACATGCAACGTGGAAAAAAAAACAAAAGTAAAAAAACACCTTTGAACGTATGATGACAAAATTCGCAGTAGCCGATCACTTTCGAGTGCACGAAAAAAGGCGTATGAGCGAATAATACTGGAACTAACAGTTTTCTAAATATTTGAATGATCCGCTCTTTGAAACATGCAAAATTGAAAAGAAAAACAAAAGTAAACGAATACTTTTGAACACAACACGAAGACAAAATACGAATTTATTAGATCGCCAACGCATCCCGATTCTTCTGTCAAACTACTCGCAGAGGTTATGGTCATGGCTTGAACACCTCGAAACATCTCCTCCAAATTCCTGAAAACCATTCATTCATTATTTCTGACTCTCCAATCCCAGGAACCCTAAAATCCGCAACAGTCGCATTCTGAGTGACCGAAATAAAGCGCAAAAAGGTAATGCGACGTGATCGTCATGATTCGTCACCAGTCCAAGGCCGCTCATGGGGGTCTAACCTTTTGGAGAAAAAACATCCTCATCGCCCCCTTTCGATATTGCGCGTCTCTCGACGACTCACCATAACGATGTGACCACAAGCGACAAAATAATAAAATATAAACAACAAAGTAGATAGATATTGGAGCGGAGAGACGCTCGAATTGATTGAACCGGCTGTGGGACGCTTGAACAACAATGGACGACAATAAAAAAAAACACACACAGACACACAGACACACAATACACATGCGAAAAAAACATGCTCACCTTCTCATTGTCACCAAGTGTTTCACTCGCCAGGGAAAGTCCGTAGTAAATGTTTTCGGCAACAGTGACGGAATCGGCAGTTTGGGCAGTATCAGGCCTACCAAGAACCTTGATTCGCTTTCTTGTTACCGTCTTAGGCGGCTTGCCGGGAAACTTGGACCTTCCCATGTTACAAACGCCAAAAAAAACAGCCCCAAGATCCACCAGTGGGCATCCACAAACTCCCGAATTATACTTTAATCCAAAATATCACCCAACACTCACTGTTTCGCATCATTATTCCACCCTCTCTTCACTCTATTCCACATTAAACTGCATATATACGAATCCTTTTCCCCCCCGGAATATACGCCTTTCGATATTTACTTGAGGTCGAGAATGTTAAGGATAGGCGCGCACACAACACAACTAACAACGCACTGATGAAACGAAACGCACACACAAGTTTTATTCCACCACTCCGACATGGAAATAAAACGATGTAAAAAAAAACAGTGAACGAGATGGAGGAAGGGAGAGACGGAGAGTGAGAGAGAGAGAGAGAGGGAGAGTCTAGTAAAAGCAGGCGCGGGACGGTAGCACTGGTCGGAGCGTAGTAGAGTACTGGAGGTTCACTAATACAAACGCCCAATTTTTTTTACAACGTCAACGTGTAATAGGGCTGTAAGTTTCCACCTATACACTGCCACAGTGTGTGTGCGGTGGGATCGCTCGGTGGGTGGGGGTAGCTGAGTACAATGTTCGTACAAGTCCGGCTGTGTCCGTATTACCGACGACGGCTGCTGCAAAATACGCGCGCACAGTACTTGTCAAAAAACCCCCCTACGAATAAATACGATGGAGAGAACTCGAGACGCCAAGCACCACCGACCATTGGCCATGGATTAAAGAGATGAGGGGCAGCGATGAAGTGCTGCGACGGCGCGGGAGGGGAAGGGGGCGGCAGCGGGGGGAGAGGGGAAAGACTTTGCTCACTCGAGTAAAAATTTCAAGCAGCCGACCCGAGTGAGATCGCTCTCGACTCCCCGGCCCCTTGTTTATACCTGTGTGTATGTGACACATGGATAAAGTGGGTATAATCGAATGTAAAAGGCGAGGCATAAAGGGGGAGGAAGGCCTCACTTGATTGTGTTTGACGACAGGCATCTGGGCAACGACGAGGTAGTGGCACGCGTAAATATATCAATGCTCAACCAGCGCCATCGTGTTGCGATAAAGAGCTACAGTTTATCCGGTTAAAACCTCACTCTCTCTCTCCCTCGGCACTTGGACCGAGCCGGCAATTTTGTTTCATTCGTTTTGTTGGTTTTAGGCCTTTCGTTTCTCTATTTCGTCCCCTGTGATTTCACTTACCCTCTCTTCGACGGTGAACTGCGCACATTCTTGCGCATAATCGACGTTGCTGGATAGTTCCGGCTTAGTTAATCGAGCCACATCGCTCTCATCTATCTGCACATGTTTTTTTCTTAGTTTGTTCGAGTGGTTCTCGCTTTTTTTTGCGCCTCTGTTGTTCTCCCTCCAGAGTTGTCGATGCGGCGCTTGACATTCGCCCTCGTGATTATTGATTTTTCGGGTTTTTAGGGGAGCGTGGAGCGTGGGGGACGTGGGTTTGTTTTTTTTTCATTGTTTTGAACAGGTGTTGCCCCTGTTGCGGAATAATGAATATGTCGATGTAAATCGTTTTTGGTATTTGATAATTTTGCAATTCCGTTGTTCATTGAGAGGAGATGCAGATGAATTTCATGGGAAATATTCGGTTGATTCCACGAAAAAATAAAAATTCATGATTTGCTTTCATTTTAAATGAAATTTTCAGATTTTAGGATTCATGAAATGGGTCACGTGGGCTCAAGCTGGCCATTGGGATTCTACCGCCAAATTTGGAGCTATAAGTCATGCGCATAACGAGAAATTATGGTTTGAAAGTTTCTCGGTAGTTAGCGCTCGTACTTGTACAAAATTTACAACATGCAAGATGCAAATATTTCACAGGAAAATGAGGGACTTGAGAATGTGCAGTTCAGTCATGAGGAATTGGTGAATTTAACGAGGGAGGCTATTTATAAAATCATCGAGAGTGATCCATTGTTTCGGGGACTTCCGTCAGATGCAACTGTTGAGGAGATAAAAGCGCAAACTGCAGTTGCACAAGGCCAAGCAATAACTGTCTATTTGACCAGGGGAAAACTCCCAAAACTCGCTATAGTGGTAATTATTAATTTTCCTGTGGGAAAACATTTTTTTTTATTATGGGGAGACTACTACGAGTTTTAAAAGTCGCGACCTATTGAAGTGAGATTTTTCATACATTGAAGATTGATTGTATTTGTCTAAAAAGGAATAATTAGCGCAAAAAAATGATTGTTTATTGTTCGTTTGCCCCGTAGACACTTAAAATGTTTGAAGGGAGACTATTATGAGTTTTAAAAGTCGCGACCTATAGAAGCGAAATTTTTCATACATTGAAGATTGATTATATTTGTCTAAAAACGAATAATTAGCGCAAAAAATTGATTGTTTATTATTCGTTTGCCCCGCAGACGCTTAGGATGTTAAAAATAGTTCAGGGCCTCCAATTTTTTAACTACGGGTGTTTTTTTTTTCAAAATTTTTGAAAAATTGTGTACAATAACGATTACAAATTATTTTTTTGAAATTCAACTCTTGCACAGCTAATTCCGTTTTTTTCCGCAATAAAAAATGCACCATTCATGTAAAATAGCCCAAAAAATGTTTCTGAAAGAATCGAGAATATATTTTTAATATTTTAAGGATATTTTTTTTGCCTATTTTACATGAATAGCGCAATTTTTATGTTAAAACGAAATTAGCTGTGTATGAGTCAAATTTCAAAAAACTAATTAATAATTATTATTGTACCCATTTTTTTAATTAAAAAAAAATTGTGTAGCTCAAAAATTGGAGGCCCTGGACTATTTTTAACATTTAAAGCGCCTGCGGGACAAACGAACAATAAAGAATCAATTTTTTTGTACCAAGTACTCGCTTTTAGACATATAAAGACATATAAATAGTACAGGGGCTCCAATTTTTTAGCTCCAAATTTTTTTTTTCAAAATGCGTCCATTAACAATTACAAGCTAGTTTTTCACAATTCGACAAAACAATTTTTTTCAGATTCCACCTCACAACACAACAGTTCTAGATCTCAAGAAAGCAATAGAATGCCAAACAAATTTATCACTGAAGCGAGAAAAAGTCTATAAGAAAATAAGTTGGAAACACGTCTGGAAAAAATACCATATCCATTTCGACGAAATTCCCCTCAGCAACGATGAAGAAAACATAAAGACTTACGGAGTATCAAATAGAGTAGAACTTCATTACAGAAAGCGTTACAGAGAGAAGAATAAAATTCGTCACGGTGTAAAAAATTGATAATTCAATAAATCTGGAGTAATAAATTTATTCATGATTCTCCTATTCTCACTCGACCTTCAGTACGATATTTACACGAAGAAGCTACGCAAAATCCGAATACATCCATTAGTGAGAGTGTCCCTTACATTGAACACTATTATACTGACTGAAATTTCCTGAATCGAACAAGTCATCATCGTAGAGCCTAAGGGGCGTAACAACTATGCTTGCACACACCACTGACGCCCCTTTGGCTGTACCACGACGAGGTGAACAATCTCCGAAGAAAAAAATCACTGTTTAACAGCTTGCTCCTCTTTTACAACAGTAGACTCTGCAGTAGCACCTGAATTTTCATCTGAAACTGCTCCTTCAGCACTAGCTTTTTTAATTTCCACCTGCAATTGGGGTAGAGCCTCTTCCAACATCAAGCAAGTCAGTTCGAATGCTGCCCCATGCCCCCAGTTCGTGACAATAAGTTTTTTGAGATTCCAGGCTCTGTAAAGGCCCTCCAATCCCCTCTCAGTGATGTTCTCATTGTCAGAGATATCTAGAACCTCAAGTTTCGGGCAGAGACACACAAGTCTCTCCAAGCACCACTCGTCAAAGTACTGACAGTTCCTGAAAGCCGCTATTTTCAGTTTCGGGATGTCAGCAAAATTGTCGAGACCCTCGTAACACAGTTCCGTTCCACTAGCATCAATCTCCTCCAGGAACCAGGTGGGCTCATACTTACTTGGCAGGTCCACTATATCGTCAGCAACCATGTACTCTTTGCACCCCTTCCTCCTGATTTTCCCCTGCCTGTGAAGGATGAAGTGAGCAAGAGCCAAGTCATTCCCCAGGATTTCTTGACGCTCTGGAATGTACCTCTGGCTCCACTTCAGGTAGTCCTGTTGCTTCCTCCTCCACCAGGCTATCCAGTCCGTCAATTTGATGCTGCCTTTTTTCTGAAAGATACCGTGTCTGTTGACATCTATGTTGAACGCTTGTAGAAAGTGTTCTTCCGGTTTCAGCTGGGGTCCCCAACGCTTCAACTTCCTACTTTTATTCACTCTCGCCTTTTCTTCATCATCCATGTCTGCCCAACGTTCACGAAAACTCGGTGGCAGATCGTGGAATCTCCTGATTATTTGAGGAAGCCTGCAGGTCTGACGCCTCAATGATAATCCAAACATTTTTCAAGGGTTGTTATTATTAGTTTTCGATTATTCGCGGATTTTTATGGGAATTTGTAGCAGTTTTGTTTATGTAATTTTGTGGATACATTGGTTTGACGGATTACGAGGTTATGGCTGGCTGTGAGGGCCGACAGCACACGACAGCAGCCGACAGCGTGGAGACTGCTGTGATCAGGGGTAGAGGGCGCTTTTCGTGTTTCTTTTCGTATTTTGCATGAATTTCTGCTTTACTTTGGTGATCAACTGATTTTGGAATTTGTTCAGAGACTGAGGGTCTGTTGTCATTGTTGTTTGAGGGATTGTGGATCTTGTTACGGTTCCTCAATGGGAAATTTGACTGGGAATAACTGGTGAACGCTGAGGAGGTTGATTGATGCGGCTGCATTAGGAGCTTGGGCGTTTTCGGACTTTAGACGTGTCAAACTTATTTATTTTCAATACCCATACGGGATAAAAGTGTTTTGCTTCTCAGAGGAATTTCTAGTGTCGTTTGATCGTAAAGTGGCGGTACTTTTGGGCTTTTATCCCCGATAGCCGAGGAATTCAAGAAATTGTTTCGACTCAGGCATAACCAAGCAGGTGTGGTGTGACTGATCTGTTCTTTGAGAAATCAAGAATTGAGGAGGGATTCGGAGAATTCAGGGATGGAGGATACACAAGAGGAAGTAAGTACATTCAATGAGGCTCTTGTAATTAGTCAAGTATTTTACAAACTCTTCTGTGTTTTTCAGACACAATTTGTTGTCGATGATGTGAGCAAAATCATCAAGGAGGCGATTGAGGTGTCAATCGGTGGGGATGCATATGCACATAATAAAGTTAGCCAGTGGACGTCGAACGTGGTTGAGGGGTGCCTAGCGAGCCTTACAAAATTGCAAAAGCCTTATAAATATATTGGTATGGATACCTCATAATTTCACTCAATTCTGCATATTTTCGAAAATTATGAGAATTTTAAATTTCCACATCTTCTGTGGATTGAAATTTTTGTTGAGCTAATTTTTTTAATTTTCTGCAAGTGTGAGAACCGTTCCAATAGTCGATTGGTGGAATATCAGTTCCATTTTCAGATCAGATTTTCAGATATTTAGATATTAGTTTTTACATGACTAGAAGGAAGAATTGAAAGAATTCAGTAGCGAAGTGGTAAAACGGTTTAAGTCGACTTATCTGCCAGTTGAGTTTTTGAGGAATATTTCGAAATCTAAGGGAGATAGCGAAATTTTTGTAACTGCATTTATTGTAGCTCTCAATCGGCTCTACAAAAAAGGTTATAACAAAAATTTTGCTCTCTCCCTTAGATTCCGAGATATTAATTGAAAACTGGTCAATAGTCAAAATTTACTTGTACCGTTTTACCACTTCGCTACTGAATTCAAGTAGTTGATCAAGCGCTAATGTTTTTAAAAAAAAATTGAGAATCCTCCATTTCAACATTTTTTTACTGCTTTTTTATTTATCCTCTTTTCTTATTCTTTCTCTCTATTATAGTACTGCTAATTTCCTTACGCTTCTGAATGAAAACACTGTGATCGTTCATATTTCAGTCTTCAATTTTTTGTGTTAGAGCAATTGAGGGGGGGGGGACATCGCGAAAAATGGACACTTTGTTTCTTTGAATTTCCATAAATCAGAAAAAAATTGTTCAATTAAATACTTCAGGTTCGTTACAAAGGGGAAGAAATGAACCTTCCAAACGAAAAAAAAATTACTTCATTTCATCAAAAATTCAATCAGTTATTAGAATTTGATAGAAAATCATGAGTGTTCATTATGCCCCATATACCTCTAAATGTGTTTTTGTAGGGGAGGGTAGGGTAAAACGGACACTTTTGACTTTTTTTGAAATATTCATGACGTGTTGAATTGTTCATGAAATGGAATAATTTTATTTTTCAATTGAAAAACAATGATTCCTGTTTGTGATGAGCTTAGACTGAGCTCAATTGATAAATCTGTTTCTGAGTTATGAATATTTTAAAAACAGTCAAAAGTGTCCATTTTACCCTACCCTCCCCTAATATCTACCTGAAAAGTTCACTTTTCGATGTAGTTTAGCGTGCGTAAAGTGTTTATTTTTGCATGATGTCCATAAAGTTCAGAGATCATGCACAAAGTGAATGCTCTCCCCATCTACAGTTTCAATTCCATTAATAACTCTCTTTAATTGCAGTTACATGTACAATTATGCAAAAAAATGGAGCAGGCTTGCACACAGCGAGCTCATGCTTTTGGGACAATGCAACTGATGGCAGTTGCACAGTACGTTGGGAGAACAAGACGATGTACTGCATCGTTTCCGTCTTTGGATTAGCCATTTAAACGTTTCTAGTCAGCTTCCAATCAAGCCACTGACATTATTGGAGCTCTGCAGAGTTAATGTTCATTGAATGGGATGAAAAGTCGGGGTTTATGGCGCTTCTGAAGGCTACTCTATGTAAAATAGATGTAGATATTCCTCCCATTTTTCGTCGTCAATTCGAAATTATTTTACCCTAATTAGTTCCCAATCAAATTCCTAGCGATGCTGTCGTTTTGAATAAATTATTCTGATCTAATTTATATTTGCTACACTTTTTGTACTATTCAATACTTTGATTTGTGAGTAATAAAAAATATATTTAATTTAATTTCTCTCATATTCCATTAGCATAGGCAAGCTTAATGTAGAGCAACTATGGAAAAGGGGACTGAGGCCTTGGGAAATAGACATGTGCCTCTGCCTTGGTCAGAATCTGAAGATTATTCTTGTAAACGTGAATTGAAAATCTTTATTTTATTCTTCCTTTTTATATCACAAATATATGTATAATGATGTCATTGTTCTGTATTTTCATCTAATCATTAATACTGTTTCTTAAGAATTAAATGGAAAATAAAAAGATTGAAATTTATGACTTCACATGATACGAAATAATAATCTCACAGGTTTTTTTAAAGGCTGAGCCTAGTTTGGTAATGATGAAAAAAATCAGGAAACAGCTTAGTACGTCATTTATACAGACAAAATGAAAAAAACAAAACATTGAACTTTGGACTGTCAGATAATAAAAATAATCCTTCTCAAAGAAACTATTAAAAAATTCTATTTCATTGACGTTAAATTTGTAAAAGACGAGAGAATATTATTCGTTACAGATGTCATGGCAGTCTTTAAATATTCATTGTTAATCTATCTTCCAAAGGAATTGGAAATCAGTGAAGTTATGAAATGATTAATGAATGATTAACTACAATTTTGTAAATTATGCTTTGGAGTTGAAGGTATAGGCGAGTTTATGAGTATTCAGTGCACTCATGAGATCCATCAGAGAGTTCAAGAAGGTCGGGAAGAAATTCTTCGTCGTCTGCTGGTTCATCTTCGTTTAGGAGTACCATATTCACAGCCAGACTGTCTCCGAACTCATCGTCAATGTAGATATCCTCGACTGTATTGTCTGGAAGCTCCTGGAGTTGAAAAAAGTAGGAGTGAACATTTTCCACATTTTTAGAATAAATTAGTAGCCAAGGAGTAACTCAAGGTAAGCTTCGGACAAATATGTTCAGTAGGAGCAAACAAAAAACAATGAACTACAAAAAATTTCATAATGCAAATTTCACTTTAATTTCACGATATTAGTTGAAGATTCATCTTTAAGGTATATCCCTAGAAAACAGGCTTTTCTTACGATTGTCCCTACGGTTTTCATAGATAATGTTAACAATATTCCCCAGCTATACAACGAGAAGTATTTCCAACGTATGAGAAAACGATTCTTACGATGTTCTTAAAAACGAATCCGCTGTAGATTGATAAATTCCTAATACAGTGAATTTTTTGTAAATTTTATAGTACATATTTTCAGTGATATTCAACTCTGAAAAATGAAAATTTCACGAAACCATTTCCCACTTGATTCAAATAGTTATTGTTGCCTTCCTCAACAACTTAGGAGGAAAAAAACTCAATAACTTATGAGAATGCAATAAATTAAATCATTTAGAATTTTTTCCGCAAATCCATAGGGACTCCAGATGGTAATTTCCTGGGATATACCTTAAATGACATTGACCAGTTTTATTTTACCGCTTGTCTACTGTAATAAAATAAAAACATATCGTAAACTTCATAAATTACTTGTTCACTCATTCCTTCGACTCGTGAATATCGTAAGAGCGAAGAAATTTAGAATTCTTTCTTCTATAGTACATCTTCTTGCACAAGAATAATATTTTTCTCCACTAATTCGATATTTTCCCAGAGGTATAATTCATTCATTGAATTAATTCGATTCCATGAATTTGTAATCATTTCTTGAAAATTCTTAACTACTTACAATCCTTCTGATAGGTATCTTGCCCAGTGGAGTATTACTCAGGCTCCTCAACTGTCCCAGGTGAGCTGGCAGTGATCGTCTCCTAGCTAAACTCCCCTTTGTACAGGAGAAGCATCCCTTCTCCTTGTTTTTATCCCCGAACACTAAAAGTGTGAAATTGGATTCATTCTGTTCATCTCCTTTACATTTATCAGTTGAGCTAGATACAGAGAGGGGGCCAGAGCCTCCAAGCCGCTCCCCAACAGTAACAGACTCATGAAGCACAGTTTCAGGTTCCCAATCCTTCTCCAAGCCCGATTGATCCTGTTCAATAGATTTTTCAGCAATGGAGGCACAATGAAAGAGTGTCCTGGAGAACTCAGCAGATGTGCGCTGAGAATTTGCACAATTTTGGGCTTTGTCTGTGTCCTTTTCATCTTTTCCTTCCGATTTTTCTTTCCCAGTTTTGTCATCTTTATTATTAACAACAAATGTATCTCCACTTGCTGACCTCTCAATGCTCTTTATCTCCTCATCAGTCATTTCGTTTAATTTGTAGAGCTCCTCGAACACTGACTCATTCTCCCTCGAGTTAGCAATATCGTCGCCAAAGCTTTTTGGGCTCCTGAATGGAGAAGAACCATTCGATCCAGGTGAAACAGGCACTGGTGTAGTTGACATATTTGGAGTTGTAGATTTTACGATGTCAGTTGCTCTGTCCAACGCATCTTTGAGGGCTTGAAGGGACACACTCCTTGGCATTGAGCTGGCAGTCATGTCCTGCGATGTGTCAGTAATGGTGAAAGTCTTTCTATTTTCTGAATCATTACTTCCGTTAATAGTGTAAGTCTCATTACTCTCGGGTGATCTCTTGGCCTCTCTGTTGATCTCCCCATTAGGCATGTACACAGACTGATATTCACCAGGATTACTTTTTCGCATTTTTGAAATACAAATCTCTTTCTCTTTTCTCCATAATGATGTCTCGAAGAAGCTACTTGAGTCGGGATTCAGGACCTGGGGCTGAATTATAGCGCCTCTGATGGGCGTTGGAACATAAGAATATGGTTTATGGGTTTTTATATTCGTTGATTTTGTGTATGTACCATATTGACTTGGAGACTTGTTCAATTTCAGTTCTAGACTTGTCTTGTGACTGGCCGGTTTGTGTGGCTCGTAATCCTTGCTTCTGATTTGTCTCAACATTTTGGATTTCAGGTTCTCTCTCTTCTCTGTGGGTGAGCAATTGGAGGAGTCAGGTCCGTAGAAGAACGTCTCTCGTTTACTTGCAAGGGACTCTTTCAATTTCTTTATATTCACTCTAGGATCACTGGGGGCTTCCTCAGGTGAATCATTGGTTCCTGCTGTGCACGATGTTCTTCTGATTTTTAGATCTCGATTTTTGCTGGCGTCAGTTCTCATGTTTTTGGTAATTACATTTGCATTTTTAACACTTGTGGACTTGAGCACTTCGTCCAAGATGTCTCGAGTTTCGATAGAGTCAGGGGGCTTTGGTTTGTCGTTTGCTGAGGTCTGATAAGCCACCGATTGTCTTGTGTGACGCCTTGGTGACTCTGCAGATGTGCATTTGGTGACAACTGGAGATTTGCAGCTCGGGGGAGTTTCTGGTTTGTTGTTGTTGTTTGTTATTTGCTCGATGTAAATAGGCTCGTCGTCCTCGTACTGCATCTCTAGTCTCTGGAGGTATCTGCTCAGCTTTGACATGTCCAAGGTGCGCTTAGTGACGTCCAACTGGAGACCTGCATCGAGAAGATTGTTGAGGAGGGGAGGGAAGTTGTAGAGATCGATTATTACTCCTCTTCTGTAGTGAAGGTACTGTCTTTCTACTTCAGTTTTACTCAGGTTGTTCCAGGGTATATTCGTCGTGCACATCTCCCACATTAGCAGTGTCAGGCTGTAAATGTCGGTGGCTGCTGAGGCCTCATGACCACTGAGGAGCTCAGGTGCCTGCCAGCGGAAGATCTCTGAGCGAAGACGATCCTCGTAATCGTGAAATATCTTTGGCTAGAATTAATGAACATTTTTTTATCTTATAAATCAAGGCTAAGTAGTGGTAGGGGGAAGTGGTGGATAGTCATGAATCTAAAATCTATTCAGCAATTTTTTCGCAAATATCTCTGAGAAAATGGAGTTTGGAAGACTTTCATTTATTAAAAAAATGGCGGGTATCACAAAAACTTTGCACAAATGAAACAATTTACTAGAAAAACCGAGGGCTTCCTCCCCGAAATTCTATTTAATTTCTCTTAGAGCTCTATAATAATTCAATGGAAGAACTCTATTTAAAAAATCTATTAGTTTTTCGCGCCAGTTCTATTCAAAATTATGCAACTCTTTCTGGCGTCTTTAAAGGGATATTTTTTTGCAGTAAAGTCTGTAAAAAATGATTTTTCTATATAACTCATTCTGTTAGGATTTTGTCTTCCAAAACTCTTGACCATGAATTTTCCACGTTTTCTTTTCTTGGATTTTATTATGATAAAATAGTAAAAATATGCAAAAAAAATTTGTACCCGAAAATTTCTACAAAAATGAAAATCCATTGAATCTTTTCTATCAAAAGTAAGTCTTAACATAATGTCACAGTAAATTTGTATAATCTTCAATAGCATTAATGCAAAAAAATAGATTTTTTGAATGGAATTCTAATAGAATTTTAATATAAGTGTCAAACAGTTCCAGTAGAAATTCAATAGAATTTCTTTCGGAAAGCGTTAGGCTTGCACTTATCAGCCGTTGATTGCTCGATAATTTCGCAAAATTTGGTATTCTTATTTAAACGTAATAGTTACCATCTACCAGTTCCTCAATTGCAATTTTTCATTCCGTGCATAAATCGTCCTACGCTTCTCATCAAGTGAAAAGCGCACAGTTACAATAATTGATGCCATAGCGTCATGGAAATGAATTTTATAGCTCTTTAGCTATTAAAAAAATTGTTTTTAATGTGTTAAATGCAGTATGCATTCAATTACAATAACTTTCACTCGAACATTTGCTGTCAATGTCGACCCTGAAGGCATTACGACTTTCACCGAACTATTAGGAAGTCACGTTTTTTCTATCTAGTCTACTATGCGGCAAGAGTTTTAATTTTCAAACGTGTTTTTGTACAATCCTTGTTCAAGGGTTTGGCGCCTGATCGATGGCCATTAAACAGGCCGACTGGCATTCTTGCGTAATGTACTTCCGGTTCTGTATGTGAATTACAACGTACCGGATGGCGAACCGATTGATCTGGATGTCGTTAAGAATGAATGAATTTTTTGACTTACTCCATTGACATTGGTAGCTAATTCCCAGCCCCCGAGTTTGACAATCCCCGTGGATGCGAGGAAGACGCAGTGGGGGCTTATAGCACTGTGGATGTAGCCACGCATGTGGGCATGTTTCAGGGCTGCTGTCAAATTTCCGGCACATTTTGCTACACCTTGAACCGATATTCGTTCACCCTGTTCGTGAATGTAGTTGAAAAGAGTACAATCCACTGGCTCGAAAATCGCTACGAGACCATGCTCTTCAGTTTGAGTTGTGCCCATCAGAAGTAAAACATTTGGGTGACGGATTTCTCTGCATTGAAAAATTGAAAAATAGAATTCTATGAGTCATTTTAGCTTGCGAAACAATGGGAATAATTTTTATCGATAATGAATGACTCGTACTTTTCGTAGGTATAATTTCATGAAAAACACTGAGGCACTGTAAAAGTACGAGGATGATTCAAGTAAATGTAATATATTTTGTTACGTGTTAAGTCATCCCAATAAGGAAGAATGTCTTGAAGAACTTGTCAAGATTCTTTTTATGGTGAAACGTTTAAGGGGAGACTACTGAGTTTTAAAAGTCATGGGCTATTGGAATGAGATTTTTCATACATTGAAGATCGATTACATGTGTCTAAAAACGAATAATTAGTGCAAAAAATCAATTGTTTATTATTTCAGTAGTGAAGTGGTAAACGGAGATAAGTCGACCTATCTCTGAGTTGAGTTTTTGAGGAATATTTCCGAATCTAAGGGAGATATCGAAATTTTTGTAACTACATTTTTTGTAGCACTCAATCAGCTCCACAAAAAATGTTGTAACCAAAATTTTTCTATCTTCCTTAGATTCCGAGATATTGATTGAAAACTGGTCAATTGTCAAAATTGACTTATCTCCTTTTACCACTTCGCTACTGATTTGTTTGCCACGTAGACGTTTAGAATGTTTAAAATAGTTCAGGGTGTCCAATTTTTTAACTACAGAAATTTTTTTCAAAATTTTCTCATGACTGTTTTTAGAACCTTTAAATGAAGTCGAAGCAGTAGATTTGATCCAATTCAACTCATTATTTAAATCTGGTGTCCATGTTGCTCCACCCTCCCCTAGACGATTTTTGATGACGGTCGTTTGGGATACAAAATTCGGTAGGCGGAAAAAATAGGCCAGGAAAAAATAGCCCACACACCCAAAACGGGCCAAAAACCACCCAACTTAAAAATTTCCGTTGGTATATTTTTTCCGGGATTCACAAAATTCGGACAGGGTCAGAGAATGGTCAGAAAACGATCAATTTTGCCTGACCTGACCGAAAGAAAAAATGACAGTCATTCCCCATCTTTAGGTGTAACACTTCGCTCTTGCGTTTCTAATGCAAGGTGAATGTAACAATGGGGTGGGGTGATAAACTGCTTCGTCGTGAAATCATTTCTCATTTGATTCAAACAACTAATTAACAAATAATTTCTTATTTGATTCAAACAAGTTCTTGGGTGTGTGGGCTACATCAACAACATATGAGGATAGAAAAACTCAATAGCTTATGAGAATGCAGAATTTAGAATTTTTTTCCGGAAATTCATCGGGACCAACTTTTGGGTGCTATTGTCTTGGTGTATACCTTAAGGATATTCAAGGACTTTGGCTATTTTTCCTCTAGTGAAATGTTGTACTTTCGTACTCGAACATCAGAGCTTTCACTTGAGCCCTATTGGAGCGTAAGTTGCCGGACATTTTACAATGATTTTATTATTCAAATTTTGCAGGTCTGAATTTGGATCTCGATATTGAACCGTTAGAAAAAATTTTAAAAATATTTTAAAAAATGAAAGTTTACTTTTTGGAGGAAGATTGATGAAATAAATAAAAATTGCAATTTTTAAAAATCACAAGCATTTTCTATAGATAATTTATAAACAATCAATTTTCCATCATAAAAATCATTTGTTCAAAATCGTAACAAATTGATTCATATTCCGAATTTTACCAGAAATCGATTTCATGAATAAAAAAATTACGTTTTCAAAAGTTTAAATAATTTCAATTATTCATTTATAAACAACGAATGGTAATAAATAATAATTCAGTGCAAAATGTAATCTGAATTTAATTTCTCCCGCAATTTAATTAACAAATTTGATGATTAAAAATGGTTGAATCTAGTGCGGTCTGTATCAAACTGTAAAAGATGCTTGGATATCCTTAAATCGCCGAAAAATTCACTTACGACAGGACATTACTTACGAAAGTACTTCAAGATCTGCCCTCACAGCATTCTTACAATCAGGATGGATATGCCTCCTCAACGACACCCTCGTATTATGCCACTCAGCGTAAATAAGCTCCAAGTACCGATCCTCAGTGCCCGCCACCCAACCGATCTCGAAAATATCAGGCGCAGGCACGTGTGGCACACCCGGCATCATCATTCCTTCTCGATTATTGTTCTTATTTTTGTTGTTCTCGTAATTTTTCTTGATGAGAAAATCCAGCCGAACTTTGTCTGGGCTGTTTGGGGCCACAATGAAGTTCGAGTCACTCGGACTTTTTCGCCTCTCGATGAATGCTTGGATCGCATTTCTGTACGCCTCGCTGAAAACAAAGAATAAACATTATGAAGAGTTAAGGAGGCAGCGTCGATCCCTTACAATTCACGATAATTTTCCAAAAAAGCTATAAAATTCAGTTGAAGAATGCACAATGTGCAAATTTTCTATCCGTAATAAACTTCTGACTAGGGTGAACAGGCCAATTGGTGGACGGTTAAGGGAAGTTTGAGTTTCGTGGTAGGATATAAAATAAAAGAATCACCTAAATGGGGATATAATAGCTTCAAAAATGTTTTAATTAGCAGAAAAAAATTATTTGAAGTGAAAATAACGAAACAGAATAATTAAATTAAGAAATGATTGAACGCAGTCGAAACCCCTGATTTCTGGACGTCTAGGCCATATTTTTATTTATTTATTAAATGTTCATCAATAGAAAACATAATTAATCACATGATTATACACGAGTAGTATTTTTGAAAGGTGAAACAATCAATACAATTTACATTTTATTCATGGACTATTCAATGCAATTTGACATCGTCCAGAAACTAACCCTCGTCCAGAAGATGACCTGGTCACCCTACTCCTGAATAAAAAGTATTGAAAAAAAATTCAGAGTAGGATGAACAGGCCAATTGCTGGACTGTTAAGGGAAATTCGAGTTTCGTGGTATTATCTAAAATAAAAGAATCTCCTAAATGGGGATATGATGGCTTCCACACCTTCAAGAATGATTAAATTAGTAGAAAAAAATTATTTGAAATGAAAATAACAAAACAAAGAATAATTAAATGAAGAAATAGTTCAATGCAACCGAAACCCCTAATTTCTGGACGAGTGGGCCATATTTTTTTTTATTTATTAAATGTCGATCAATAGAAAAAATAATTGATCACATGATCATACACGAGTAATATTATTGAAAGATAAAGTAATCTGTACAATTTTCATTTTAAGAAATTAAAATTAAATTCCGTAGCGAAGTGCTAAAGCGATTTAAGTCGACTTATCTCCCAGTTGAGTTTTTGAGGAATATTTCGGACTCTACGGAAGATAGCGAAATTTTCGTAATTACATTTGTTGTAACTCTCAATCGGCTCTACAAAAAAGGTTATACCAAAATTTTGCTATCTCCCCTAGATTCCGAGATATTCATTGAAAACTGGCTAATAGTCAAAATTGACTTGTACGGTTTTACCACTTCGCTACTGAATTAAAGGAATTGACCTGGTTACCCTAGGATCTAAAATAAAAGAATCACCTAAATGAGGATATAATGGCTTCCATACCTTCACGAATGTTTTAAATAGCAGCAATAAATTAATTGAAGTGAACCCCTCATTTCTGGACGGCTGGGCCATATTTTTTTTTATTTATTCAATGTCGATCGATAGAAAAAATAATTGATCACATAATTATACACGAGTAATATTATTGAAAGGTGAAACAATCGGTACAATTTTCATTTTATTCATGGAATATTCAATGCAAGTTGAAATCGTCCAGAAACTAACCCCCGTCCAGAAATTGACCTGTTTAGCCTAGAGTCAAAGTAACGTAGTTTGCAAAACGTACGCTGCCCTCCTGTCACTTTTTTCGGTGTCTTCACGTTCTATCGGGGCCCCTTGACATCCTGAACTCTTCACTCTAATAACCGCAGTCGCGATAACACTTCGCCCGTGAAGATTAACAACTTTTCGGCACTCTTTTGTGTAAAAGCCACTGATACTCTGGTACGAGGAGGACGACATGTCCGGACTCATACCGAGCCTATGCGGCCTTCTGACGAGTTGATCGCGACTGGAAGATTGTTTACAAACACCTCTGTTGAGATAGTCACGTGATTCGAGTGAATATGGGTACAAGCGACAAAAGTTTTGAGACCTGAGGTTCACTGAAGTGCGGCTATTTTCGAATAACCCTGTTTTTTCGTCTATCGTTTCAATTGATGGTTTGTTCTTTATTTGATGAGGAGCGAGAGGGTACAGTTTAGTGGCACTTTGGAGGAGGGACTTTGGGGGAGGGAGATTCATGTGAATTCCCGTGAGGCAGGCTGGTGTGAATCCGGCCCACGTTTTGCAGTGTCGCAGGAGTTGGTAGAGGTAATATTACAAAAAAAAAAAATTCACGCGTTTTTGTTCCCAAATGGAAGCATTGCAATCGTTCAATAGATTTTTTCATTCTGGAAAGGTAGGGCAAATATTTATTCCGTTCATCAAACTGAAAAATCTTCGGAAAAATAATCACCAATTGGGATAATGATTGACATTTAAGGGTGCCAAGTGAATTTGGCGATGACCTTGAAAATTGACATTCACCAACAGTTATAATTTTTTTAATTAATAGTATTAGACAGATGGTGAACATCGGTGACAATTTTAAAATTTTAGAACTTATGGATATCGAGAAATTAAATAAACAAAATCAGTCTTATACACGGCCTCTTATGGAGTTTTGATTAAATTGAACGTTTCAACCCCCTAGGAACTCAAGAAAAATTTGAAAAAATTTGAAGATATGGGGAATGATATGTTCAATGTGATGGCGACAAAAAACAATGGGGTGCCGGGGTGAATAAGAGAGATATTTCAATCCGCCGTACCCATTTGATCCCATGCTTTCTCGAGGTTCGTCACGCGAAATAGAGGATTTTTCGCATTTATTTTCTCGATGTCTAGTTCCGGTTGCGGGTTTGAAATTTCGTCGGATGGATGAATACATATTTCTCCAATGATGAAGGGAAAGAAAATTTTTTTTTTGAATCTTTTTTCAAATTCACTTGGCACCCTTAAGATGATATATATTTCAGTAGTGAAGTGGTCAATCGGCTTAAGGTACTTCCGCAGTAAGTATACTTGGTGAAAATTTCGAAATGGTATAAAGACGCAATATTTGGATCATATGTTGTTGACCACATTAAAATGATATTCCCAAATTTTTAAGTCCCTGGTCCACCCCATTTTTGAGATATGCATCGCCAAACATTCAATTTTTGTGTTTTTTCCATTTTTTACGATGTATATCTCGAAAATGGGGTGGACAAGGTACTTCAAATTTAGGGAATAGTTTTTGAATGTGCTCAACAACATATGTATACGGAGAAAAAAATTCCAGAAAAATTACTGTGCCGGCACGGTAAATCGGTTTCGTTTGGACGGAAAAATTCCTGTAGCGCACGGCAGGAATTCCGGTGCCGGCACGGAAATTTTTCCGGGTCCGTCCAAATGAACCTATTTTACCGTGCTACCACAGTAATTTTTCTGGAATTTTTTTCTCCGTGTAGAAGAAAAAATTCCGCATTAACGATGACGGAATTTTTCCACGACTCAGCCTCGATAAAGGAAAATAAGTAAACCTGCGTGTTGCAAATCGTGTGAACAGCTGTTAATTCCTCGGTAATGTGCCCGAGTAAAGCTTAGCGACGGAACAATTAAAACGGTTGATGAATTATTTCCCTCACTCCGTGAGAGAATCCACCCGGAAAATACCTATTTTCTTTTTACACGTAAAAATGGTAACCCCTTATAATCTTTGTAATGAATTGAACTTACTTATTGAGGCCATCGAATTTTGGTGACAGAGGCCGGCGATTCCGATCGCGTTGAATGATGTCCCTGAAAAAAAAAACAATATAATGGGCATTTGGAATTTCTTCGTGCATTTAATTGAAAAATTCCCATCCTGTTTTTCGAGGGGATACACTACTGAGTTTCGAAAGTTCTGCAATTGAAAAATGAATTCCATGGATTCTTTTCTACCGATGTATACACCTGAATAAATGTTAAATGACCCTCTAGAGAGTATCTGAGGATGTTTAACCAAAACGCAAGCATTTCATGAATTTTTGACTTTTTTGTTCAAGGGATAGGCAGAGTAATCTCCTTCATGTTGATAAAATTTTTATTTCACCAACCCGAGTTGATTATTCTTAATTTGAATAGAAAATATATACGAAAAACTTATGTCCATATGTAAATACTTGGCTGAAAGCCCTCGGGCGATGGCCTATTGTGAGAAAAAATTTTTTTGTGTATTTTTCTTGCAATAAATTTCGTTAAAAATTAAAAGAATTAATTAGAGAATATACAACGAATGTTGTGCGGTGTTTAAAGTTTAAAACAACTGCATTATATGCCTGGGTATCTCAGACTCAGACTAGGCCTAGGAATTCAGTATTTTTTTCAAATTAGCTTCTAGTTTTATTTTCATTTTCGTAGTCTTTCAGTAGGTGAATTATCAATTTAAAAATGAATCCCATAAGAGATAAACTGGGTTATTTTATTGCGTCGAAGTTACTGCAACTAATTTCTCTTAATTATGAGAAAGTTTTGGTTCCCTCGTCAGCCTAAAAAATTACAAAATTTTCCTCGAACATGAAAGAACTCAATTTTTCGAAAGTGGATTAACATCCTTAATATAGACCGTTTGAGAAAACTACAAAAATCGATTTCGGACTGCGGAAAAGCTCTATGTAAGTAACACTTGGCAAATTGAGCTGGAAATTGAACACGATATTAGGAATACTAATACCATATCAAAACTAACGATGCGTTTTTCTGTCGGACAATTAATCAATTTATAATTTCACACAAATCGAAAAAAATGAACATTGACATGCAATATTTTTTGTAATTCCGTCCTAGTGCTGTAAGAGAGCGGTTCTGACCATTGTGATCAATTATTAGCTCAATCCACCAACTGCTATTCACATAAAGGTTTTCTAAAGTTGAAAATCACTTTTTTTTGTGTTTTCAGGGAATTCATTATTTAATCACCGAACTTCTGAAACTCGGGAGTCCTTATCTCCTTAATAGTTATTTTCATCATAAGGTCCACAAAGTATTTTCTGACGAATGTGGCTCTGTAGGCCGAGCCACACACATAATCACATTCGTCAGAAAATACTTTTGGACCGTGGAATGAATGCAATTTTTCGTCAGAAGGCCTTTTTGTCATTCCGCGTCCGTGAATCACTGCTTACATCCGTTATGACAGAAATATTGTTCATCCTACGGCCTAAAATAGTATATTGTGCATCAAGGGCGGAAAGCGAAGACGTTGAATATGGACAAATGAATATTCGTTAATAGTTAACGAATGGTTTACTTGAATGGCGAAAGTCAAGTCAAACAAGGCTCCTCAAATATACATTCGTTAACTATTAACGAATGAACATTTGGTGGGACCGAATAGACCTTAATCTCTAACCAAAATCCATCCGTTAACAGTAACTAATCCGTTCTATCAGTGTGCGATTTTTTAATACACCTGCAAAGAAAAGTTCGTATTTTGCTCTTTGATGAGTGGGAGGAAAGTGAGTACTTTCTGCCCTAGGGTGTTTCGATACAAGTGAGATGAAATTTTCACGAGTTTGAAGTTGGTGGCCCGAGCCAAAGCCGAGGGCTACCAATCACACGAGCTGAAAATTACCGCCTCACGTGTGTCGAACAATATTTTTTCACAAACCTGCACGGAAAGTTCGTACTTTGCTCCCTGATGAGCGGGAGGAAAGTGAGTACTCCCGGCCCTCGGGTGGAAAGTCCTCACTTTCCTCCCGCTCATCAGACAGCAAAATACAAACTTTTCTTCGCAGGCGTGTTAAAAAATAGCATGTGCACCTCGGGCGGGAAAACATGACTTTCCGCCCTTGATGCAGAATATACTATTTTGACGGTATGTTACGTTCAGCGCATGGCCGAACTGTGCTTTTTTCAGTTACAAGTAAACAAAAAGACTCCGTTTTAGCCCAGTGACGAAATGTATTATTTTGTCACTGCTTCTACGTTCACCTTATGATGAAAAGTGCTCATTTATTCGTTTAAGTTATAATTAACTTAAAGCACTCATTTATTTGTTTAAAGTTTTCATTTATTCGTAAACGAAAAGTCTTTTCGTTCCCATGTAAGCGGAAAAAGCTGCAGTTTGCCACTCGTTGAATGTAACATCACTGACAAAAAATATACTTCGTGTCAATACCATGAAATGTAGTTCGACATATGTCCGGTGGAGATTTTTCAGCTCGTGTAATTAGTAGCCCTCCGCTTCGCTTCGCGCGTCCAACTTCACACTCGTGAAAAAACCGGTCGCACTTGTAACGAAGTATATTATGTCACCTTGATAAGGTTATTACAACAAAGGTATTACTGAGGTGCATATATTACAGATACTAAGGTCTTCATCGTGTTAATACCATGAAATTTTCACATTTTTTCAAGCAATTGAGTTCCAGCTAAATTTATTTATTGAGTTCAATGTAATCTATGACTGGATTCACTCGGTTGAGGTTCATTTATTCTTTTCCCTTCATTTTGGTAATTACGTGGGGTTCTGTACGCATTTGTTGTCCATTTGCTCATCCTGTCCATTGAATTTCAACATCCGGTCTACACATTACGTAATTCCGGGAATCGGAAGTATTCGGTAGAGGTACGGTGTATGGAAGCGACATGGGTGTTGCTTACACCAACGAGTTTTACAATTTTTTGAATCTACGAACACTCGATTCTATTATTATACTATATGGACGTCCGTATGAAAAGAGCCCACTTTGTCGCATCTAGTTTGTGAGATATTTACTTTTGTCTCTCCACAACTTCCATTTAATTCCATTTCAAAACGTTCTTTGATTTTTTATAACAACATCAATTTCCACAGCATCAGGGTGAGTATCGATGAAGCTGAAACTACACTGAGAGAAAAACGACAAAGTTCTCAAACAAGTCTTACTTGTGCCAAGAAAATAGTTTTTTGAAAATTATCAAAAAAGTATTGTTTTGTGCCAAATGTGCAGAGCAAAAATAGATTTAGTAGTTCAAAAAAAATTGCATGCTCTGTACATGCAAGAAATGTCATTTTCTGTACTGCTTCTCACTATTTCTCGTCTGGGAATTGGTATTACATACTTCCCAAACTCGAAAACTCGCCTACGGCTCGGAGGCCAACGCCACACGAGTAAAAAACCCCATCGCAACAGGCCGGAAAAATACTATTTTAGCACTACTCCTTCGTTATTTCATACTCCCATACGTATTTGCTCCCGAAACATCTGTTTTTTATGCGAAACAAGGGATAGTAGTTTTTCGTTTCGGCTGTCTAATAATCACAGACAAGAAATGAACCCTTAAATGAAACAATAATAATGATATGATAGCAATCTTGTAACGTAGGGATAAAATATTTGCTGATAAATTTTGCTTTATATGAGGTATTTTCATCCTGAAAAGGCACCGTCTGGTGTGAATTATCCGCCTCTTTAGCCAAATATTTCATTGCAGTCGAAGGCAGAACAATTATAATAAACCAGATCGTGACGTCACCCCATTTAAAATTGTACAGGTTTTGGCTATAAACCGCCAAAATCTGGCAACCCTTATTCATGTTTGAGGCTTTCAAATTCGAACCAAACAAATTCTTTTTTGGCAATTTTCAACTAGCGATTTCGTCGGCGCAAACAAGACTTGTTTGACAACGTGTTTGTTTTTCTCCCAGTGTAGTGATACACTGAGAAAATTTGTTTTGAGAAGTACATCTTCACTTGTATCGAGAATATGGCTCGACAGAAAAAAAATTTGTTTGTCAAGAAAGAAAGTGATTTCTCAAATCGTCTTGTCGAATCAATCAATTCCATAGTTTTTTAGTCTCAAATTCAAAACATTTTAATGCAAAAACCACTTGACTTGGTTTGAGTAGTCGCTTTCTCATTGTAAACCAACTGCCCCTGATCTTTCGGACAAATACAAAATCTCTTGACAAAAGTTTTTCTCTCTCAGTATAAGATATTTTTTGCTTGTCAATTTTCGGGCCATGAGTCTCTTGATACAAGTAAAGACGTACTTCTCAATAAACTTTTCTTTCTGAGTAAAGATTCGCCAGCGGAAGATTCGACTTCGATAAATTTAGAGGTGTGTGAATATTTTTAAGTTATGGATAAACTCGTTCGCACTTGAAAAACTTTTGTAGGGGAGGATGGGGCAAAACGGTCCCCCTTCAATCGTCAATATTTTCCGATTCAATAATCCGATTGGGATGAGTTAGAGCTCGTTTTGAAGAATGAAAAATTATCTTCAAAATGAAGTTGAAACTGGGAATTTTCACAATGTCATTCACAAGTTATTGACAATTGAAGGGGGGCCGTTTTGCCCCACCCTCCCCTACATATGATTGTTTGACTCTTGCAACCATGAAAATCCCCGGAATTGAATATTCCGCTGGCGAATGTTCCGCTAGCTTCAGCTTCCTTAGGTCATTTTGAGCTCAAAATGTGTGGACTATGACCAAGATTACCGGAGAAGGTAATGCATTACTCCGATATCACCAAAGTGGGCCCTGTTCATGCGAACGTCCACATTCATTGTCAATCTGTTCCCAAATTTCTCTCGCGCTTCGATACTCCTATGAATAATGCAGAAACGAGTCATTTTACCAATAAATATTAAGAAAACTTTCCTTTAGGTGAAGAAATTTGTTATGTTAAATCACTCATTTCCAAGACAGCTCCAGAATCATAGAATGAGACGAGTTATAATACGACTTAGTGAATTTCATTACGTCAAGTAACAAAAATCTTCATCACTTTTTTCATCTGCATTAGACGAAAAAAAAAAAACAAACTCGT